CTTAGTTTTTGCGTCTGTACATCTTTTGCAACCTCGAAGACTAGGGAAGTGACTGGTGTGACCTTGTCCTTTACAGCCATCACAGACAGTCTTGTTTCTATAACAGGCGTTACAAAAGCTATCACATAGTGTGATTGCATCATCATTCAAGATATTCTCAGTAGCTGGAGCTGCTGCAAGGCATGCTCGGCAGATTTGTATTTTTTTACATTGATCATCAAAAAGTGCCTTCATATTGTCTCCAGTTTTGCCCGTCTTGGGAACATAATGGACAGCACAAGGAATACTMAACTTATTGTCWATWGTTGTTGTAGAGGAAACAAGAACTTCTGTCACCATGTGCTTATTCAKAAATTGAGGACTAGGTTCCGGGTTTTCACGCGCATAAGAGGCATCAACTTCAAAATCAAGGCCAATGTTTTGTTTCGTTCGTGGATCAAATTGGATGGAGGGTTTCAAAGCTGTACCATCATTAGCTAAAGCGCACGGAGTTATTTTAGCGATATCGTTGTCAATCAATGCMTGGGCCTCAGAGTTACTTTCTACCGAAGAAWACTTCAAAAACGTTTCAGCCAATGTTTTGATGACGCCTGATTTTGTTGTATAACCTGCTTGGTGTTTCCTGCAGGTTTCGTCAGAAGGACCCCCAAAATTCATGCGAATATCATCTGTGTTTTGTACACAGCCTCTTCCTTGACCAGCATACATTGGTCCCCTAATCATATTTGTAGTACGACGTCCGCCAAGATACGACAAAGTATTAAAAAACTCAATAACTTCCCGATCATACTTATGCCGGGGGTTATAAAAGACTTCCATTACATCTCTGAGGTGCTTATATAAAATTTGATTCGTTGAAATCTTGCCACGCTGAATCAAATCGTTCAACTTCACGCAAACAGGGTCTGCACTCTCAACTCCTATTGCAACAACTCTCCAATCACTGTCCAGATCGACAGAGGTGTCAGAGTTATTAGAATCACTGTCGACATCCTTATCATCACTTTCTATTGTTGTTGTTGTTTTTGTTGACTSACAATCAGAGACGGCCTCAGTGCATGAGCTGACAATGCAAAAACAAACAATGACTTAAACGACCATGCATACTTTATACATTTATTTAAGTGTTTACTTGCAAGTCTGTATACATTTTTGACTGCGTGTTGTTGTTTTTTCAATTTATCATTATGCTTTGTAGCTGTTCTAGAGATGTCAGAGATGTTAGTGCACCTGTAATCTTTTACGCCCAAAATGTTGGTGTCATTACCAAATAAATTAACATAATATGTACAACAATATAAAACTAACAAAATTGTGAAAAACCAAAAAAACATTACGTTCTAAGTCTTCTGAAGTGCAAAAGTACAATATTATTACAGAGCTGACTTTCTTTGAGCAGATATAATCACAAATAAAAAAAAAGTTTGTWCTCAATATGASCTACTCGTCTGATTGCTCCAATGATTCTGCATCTGCATCATCTGACATGTCAACATCTGAATCAGCCGCAATTGTTGCCTTCTTTGGCTTCTTTGGAGCAAAAAATGAAGAAATACTTTTATTACCGGTAGACCTTTTTCTTGTTTTCCGTCGATTTTGGCAATCGTTAAAATGATCTAAAAAATATAAATTTCGAATTGAAGTTATATAACATTCACATTTTTGACTATTTTATTGTTTTGTACGCTTTTATAGACTGGAACTATTTTGGAAAGAGTCAAATTTAAAATCATTACTAATATATTGGATGCACGGAAGAAAAGAGTGAGCTTGTTTTCACTTACGGCTTTTAAAATAGTTGACACGTCCAGCTTTTCCTGAATCAACGCGAAGTTGRACAAGTTTACAACAGAGACCACACTTTATTTTCCATGACCATACCACCTTCTTTTGTCTAAGCCTAACCGTTTCTTCGTCGCCTTCCACCAACTTACTCTCCCCGAGGTCTTTCAGCTCTGCGTCAGAGTATAAGCGTTCATTATAAGCATGTGTGGCAGCCTAAAAACTACTATTTGTCAAAATGTCTGATTTTTTTTTACTTTTAATGGCTATATTGAAAGTATTTATAAACAAAACAATTTACCTTCATTTAGCTTAATTTTTTCTTCCTCGGTTAGGCTGATTTTCTTATCGGTTAATGGGTGTTCAGTTTCCACAGGTGCAGATGCGTCCTTTGATCTTATCTCAACAACAATTCTCTGAGAGCTGCTTGCAAAGGCAATGTCTTTTGGATATATAATTACTGAAAAAACATATAAATTACGATTATTTCAAGGCTTATTACTGCAATTATCCAACTTCAAGAAGATACCTTGAGTTTAATCTGATCTGATAATCGATAAAGCCCTTGATAATCTCGATACAGTCGATACACGTACCGACCCGTWCCCACAACCATCTTCGTGATTTAGTCAAAGGATAGTGTTAAGAGTCATAGAACAATAAAGTTGTAATTATTAAATATAATGACAAACAACATACTTACACTGCAACATATCGGTACCATTTCTTATAGAAGGCAATTCAAGGGCTACCTGGCTGTCTGTATTAATGGCATAACACTGTGCCCCCTTGCTGTCACTTTTATCAAGCCTTGCTAGTTTAATATTCAACTGTCTTCCAAGGCCAATGTTTGAYGCCACTTCGTATACACCCCCAAATGAACTATATAAAAAGTATCATTAATATTTATTWWATTTGTYGTTAAGCGTAAACAAAATTGCAAATGAACATACCTGACTGTTTCTCGTAGCCTCTTAAGCTTACTGACATCCCTATCAATCTCGGCTCTAAATTTCTCTTTGCGAAGGAACGAGTTTCCACTCGCCCCTCGCTCGTAGAAGAGAGCCACACAATTTATCACATCTACTCGACCAGTGTTAGTCGAGGCCGGAACGGTTTCACCCTGGCCAGCCATTCCGACTAAAAGGCTAAACAACTTTAAGGTTCTGAATTGAGATCTCAAGGAGTCGTTGAAAGTTCTTGATCGATTATAACTAGTTAAAAGTTGCTTTGATACCTGATATGACCTTACTATTACACATGTATGTACATGTATACCTTTATCGTGACGTGTCCGCTTTTGTCCAGCAATCGTCCAGTAAGGTCAGAGAGGTTATATCTCGTAATAAAATGCACAGGCAGTCTAATAATTAATAGGTAAACTTAGGACGCAGAAATCACGTATCCCGCAGCAAATTATTAGAGTTATCCCGATCCCGTCGCGAAAAAAACGCAAAATCCCGATCCCGCTTGCATTTTAAGATCCCGCATCCCGTCAAAATTTTTGTCCAGATCCCGAATCCCGCCATCAAAAAACGGCTTATCCCGCATCCCGCAAAACCTATTGTGGACCCTCTATATTATATTACCGTTTAACAGGACACTAATAAGCAAACGCTTTAGAAAATATTCGGATCATTAGAAATTAGAGTAAGATAAAAAAGAAGTTAGTAAAAATCATTTCCGAGACACGTTTTAGTGTTCGTTCACGTGTTTACCTAAGCCGGGATTCCTGTGTTAACTTCCTATCCATCATGCACACCGAAAAACCACGAAGTTTTCAATGCTGATCGTAGCCTTGGTGGGATTTTACCTTGCTTTAAATTGGCTTCAAATGGATAAGCATAATCAAACAGATACACAAATCAAGCAGGCCAGCATATTAACATTGGCCCGCCACCTCGCAACACTTCGCTCCCCCACAAGGGAGAGGAAGGGGAGGAAGAGTTGCAACCGGAAGCTAAAAACGGATGCGAGGGAGACTATGTCACAAAGTCAAAAAAACAAATCGAGTTCTGCACCGCAAAARTTCCCCAACCTCCCCCTCCCCTCTCAAAAATCTAATGGTCTGTCCCTTAGGAACACAGACATCATTGACAAGTTACGAGTTATTATAGTTAGTTACAGTTCAACATTATGGTCATTGTTATGGAAAAATATGTTTTTACCTAAAATATTTTCAGTTTATAATGACTAAATAAGTTTCCAGTTAAAAAAATATTGTTCATACACTAAAATCAGAAGACAATTAGGGTCATATGGTCTAATAAACATTGAATACATATAACTAATAGAAAACTGCAAATATTTTATAAAAATCTGATTCCACATTTTTTTGGTATATAATTCACAATGTGATTGGCTACGAAGATGTACCGAAGCCAAACTTTCGACATTGTGAAAAAAAAGACGAATAACCAAGAAAGTAGCAGCATTTCACTACACGTCCCCTGCATAGCAGGGAACGTGTAATAAAGCCACAAAACTGAACGCGGCAGTAGCGCCGATCGTTTTAAAAAAGGTTGGTTTGCGCATCGATAAGTTATATAATGACGAATGACGTGGTTTGACCTTGAGTTACAAACACCTAAGGGTTCACATTTCCAGTTTTCATGATCAAGCTCTAAAACATTMTAATGATGATTTTAATAATTACTGTTTTTTCATGGTTGATATCCAGATTTTGAAGTCAAGTGAATTAGAGATTAAYTACATGGTCTTTATTCAACGAGGCAAATGGTCAAAGCAATGTAGAGTACTGATAGTTTCACGGACTTTTTGCGCATGGACATCTCTTCTTCATGTGATCTTATGCATCAGACCGTTGATGTAGGTAATACATCAGATTTATCAAACGAACGTAAACGAAGTACACTCTACAACCCGTCGCTAGCATATTGTGAACTTTTTTTTTTCCATATCAAACAATTGCCCCCACAAAGTTATCCTTCGTTTAGCAGCCATATATGGTAATCTTACCTTATTTGGAAGTTCGATAGGAATGGTTTTTGTCGATTTTCTCGACTTTTAAAGCTTGAAATCGTCGGAAACTTGCAGATATTATAGCGAAAAACACTTCTAAACAATCCGCCATTTTGTTTGTTTCCATATATGGCATGGATTCGCTAAAGGAAGCCCAAAACTAAGAAGCACAGGGAACCCGCACGAATGATATACAATTCTTTGATATGTCTGGTAAACAATCGATTTCATGCCAGCTTTAGAATTTGAAAATATGTTAAGTGCCCTTTAGCCTGTTTGATGGAGTTTGATCTTGAATGTAACATACTTTAAACGTTGTTTAAAATAATAGAAYCGTAGCAAGTTGGACCGACTGTGTGCAAAATATGAAGATCATTTGTGCAGGATTATCAAAAACCGGCACCAAATCGTTGGCAAAAGCGTTACGAATCCTCGGATTTGTGGTCCACGACTTTGAAGAACATTTCATGTGGCATATGAGTGAATACATTCAAGCTCTAAATGGCGACATGCTCGACTTCACTGCCATGTATAGTCAAGTCGATGCCGTGACTGACACTCCAGCGTGTTTGCTCTGGAAGGAGCTAAGTCAAACTTTCCCTGATGCAAAGGTGGTGCTGATGGAACGAGATTCTGCCGAAATTTGGGTCCAGTCATTGCTTTCTTCGTTTGCTGTATACAGAAGAGAAATGTGTTCTCTTAAAAACATACTTGGAAGTGCTTTGACTCCAACCGGCCGCAAACGTATAACGCTTATGGGACTTGTTTACAAAAAAATGCATGGCGATCAGGATAAAGAAGGGTTTGTTGAATTYTACATTGAACACAACGCGAGGGTCAACTCTACAATCCCGCGGGATAAGCTACTGGTCTACAACGTTAAGCAAGGTTGGGAGCCGCTGTGTGAGTTTCTTGGCGTTCCTGTCCCAGATGTGCCGTTTCCTCGCTTGAATGTGAAAGATCAATTAATTCCTAATTTGTTGAATTCCTCAGAAGTTGCGAAACGAATGTTAAACGAGCTTTTGGCTTTGTTTGTGATTTTAGTTGTATTGATTGCCGCCATTGTGGCTTTCTTGATTAATYTATAGCTGCATAAATTATTGTTTTCTTTTGACTAGAAAAAAAAATCGGAAATCCAAGGGTTAACCATCATTGATGAGGAAGTTGTTCCCTTTTGTTTTTACTTGGTGAGAGTGAGAAAGTGATTTCTAACTGAAACTGATTAATAATAACGTAATGGATGAAACAGTAGTTATGTCATGAAATTATTGTCAAATGCACATAATAAAAAATCTTAAATAACAGAGCATTTGGTACGGCCATTAGACGGGTCTCCTTTTCTTATGTACATCAGGTATAAGAATACTAATAAGGAGTGTTTTATCAGATACAAAGGTCCATGCATGTGACGGCCAAATAAGCTTATTCTATTGTACTAATAACTCATTAATTACGTATTATGAGTTTTTGAAAAATATATATACAGTAATACGAAGCGGGGGCGGATCCAGAGGAGGTGCTTTGGGTGCGGACGCACCCCACCTTTTCAAACTACATAA